GTCAAAATTCAAAACTGATTACTACCAAACTGAAAATGTCCCGCACGCTATATGACCATATGCAGTTTCGTGCCCCGTAAAACACACACACAAAAAAAGAGACTAGTACTGCGCGATTTTGATGAAAAGAAATTTCATCGACACCTTGAAGTTCATTACTTCCCTATTCAGGCAATTGGAATACCGTGTGTAAATGTGTCTTTTCTTTTAAAAAAAACATCTTATGTTACACTCACAGGCTTGTTTTATAACACTTGCTGGCCCGCTTATCACTCAGTGTCAAAATCATCAAGTGCAAAGTATTTCTGTGTTTACCTCAATCATTTTAGGTAAAATAATATGCTCTAATTTCATGACGGTTTGAGGAAAATTATACTAAAATCCATTGTCTATAAAAATCACACAGCATTTGGATGGCACTTCCATGCTTTGCATTGCTATGAATAGCTAAAAAATAGGGTGAATGTAGAATAATAACATCATACAGGCACAGCTTTAACGCAGACGGCCCCACATACGAATTATTTGCATAATATTATTATTATCTCCTGGCTGATAGATGCAAGCAGTGACATCGCTACGTGGAAGAGTGAGTTTCGCAATATGTTAAGATTAATGAGAAGTGCTGAAAATTAATAGTTACGAGCTTAAGACTTAGAGTTGATCTAGATTACTGTACTGAAACGTAAAAAAGAGTGCGTGCGTGGACGCACGAGCCATGGAAAATTAATTGTGAGAGTTTAGATGTCACTGTGCATGCGTAAGGATTCCTATCCTATCTTTCCGTCTGCACAGAGGAGACGCTGTCTGGCGCTGTCATTTCGTTACTTTAGAATTTCAAAGCAATATCTGCTCAGTATCTAGTTTTGAGAGATTTGACCTTAAAAATTCTGAGTTTTACAACATGTCAAGCTTTTCGAAAGCAATAATTATTTGGATATCTAGATAACGGCTCCGATAATCTTCCGATTTTCTTAAAAGGACAAAATATTTAGTTTCTTACGTCATTGTCATAACAAGTCAAAAAAGGTAAAAAAAAGAATATCAGATAGAGCTTTGTAATTCTAAGGTAGCGATATATTATGGCCTGTTATTTAGACGTCTTTTCAATTTTAAAGGAGAGAGAGAAAGTTTTACATGCTCCAATGATCATAGAAATGCCTTGGGACCGTAATGAGCTGCAGATAACTTGTCGATACACAGACTTGTTGAGAAATGCTTTCATACTGTCTTGACGTACTGTGTTTTTTTTTAAACCATCAAAGTTAATACGAAAGTAGATAAAAATTAGCCACGCTCTTTTAATTGTTTTCGAAAGTCTGACTGTGGAGCAGAGTAAGAGAAACATAACACTAACAAAGCCATCACTTGGAAGCGGCCCCTGCTTTTTCGACCTCCCTGCATCAACTGTTTTGGATTCAGATGGCAACCTATCTCCACATGTTCGTAACTCTATGTGAGGAGTTGGGAAAGAGGGATTGTGTCCTGCCCCTCCTGAAAGCCTAAGTAGCACCGAACAGCAAATAGAACTATCACAAAGATTTAAAAAAAGTTTTAGTAGGTGTTTTACGGCGCTATCAACACAATTAGGTCACAGAATATGTTTGACAGTCCAGGAAAAATGGCAATTCGAATGGAGTTATTTGGACATGTGGAGGTGCCGCTAAGCATATTGACAATGGAGCCGAAAAAGAGCCTCACTATCGCTCGAAGATTATTTTCTTCGTAGAGTCCACCAGGCCCATTAAGGAAACAAAAAAAAATCATTATCATCATATGCGCATCATCATCATCATCATCATCATCGTCATCATCATCATCATCATCATCATCATCATCATCATCATCAATTTTTGGTAAGCAGGGTAGGAGGGA